AATCAAGGATGAAACTAATCCGAAATGCAGGATCTGCGGAGAATAAGATGAAACTGTCGATCATATTTTCTCGGTATGTTCGGAACTGGTAAAAAAATTAATATACACAGACTTAACAAGGTAGCAATAGGTGTATACCGGAAAACACAAGAAGCACAAAATCAAAACCACTGAGAGATGTTATGAGCACCAACCCGACACAGTTATCCAAAATACGAATGTAACTATCCATTGGGACATGACAATTCAAACTGACTGGGAAATAAAAGCCAACAGAATTCATATTATCATAAAAGACAAGAAATTCAGGAAATGTATGCTTATTGACATAGCAGTACCATCTGAGAAAAACACTTCGATAAAAATTATCGAGAAATTGTCCAAATACAAGGACCTGGAGATCGAGATTAACAAAATGTCGAGAATGAACACTGAGTCTGTACATGTGCCTCGTGAGAAAAGGAATGGGCAATTTTACTAATAGTACTCCAAGTAACATCAACATACAAGTTGCCCTGAATAGTGCTATTAATTAAATGACAATTCTCCTATAGGATCTAAGGACCATAGTTTGGACTCGGCTCTACACGTTACAAAGCAGAAATTATAACATACACAAATAATAATTCAGAAAACTTACCTTTATCAATCTTTAAAATAATTTGACGCAATTTTACGTAAAATAAAATTTTAAGTAAACAGGTGATTTTTCCATAAAATTATAACGTCAACCTTCGGCCAATTTATCGTAATGCGAAATAGCAGACGACCACAATGCAAATTGTTGCGAATGCTGTAGGTTTTCTTATTTTTCTGGCTGATTTTGATAATACCGATATAAATTATTTTTATACAAATATGATGAATTTAAAAAAATGTATATCTTCAGAAACATTGCTTATATATGGTAATTTTTAAAATCTAAAGGAAAATTAAAAAACAAGTATTAAATATTTATTAAAATATGCTTTCAAAATTGCATGTTTAATGTTAATGCCAAGGTTATGGTAGCAATACTGACCTGTTTTTTTCTTCTCTTGACTTTACAGAGAACATTTAGCCTCACGTGAATTTAGAAGATTTAATTTTTTTTCCTTCTTTCCTGCCTAACATTTCTGCTCAGACAATCATTCAGGCAAGATGTTCTTGAATGGCTTAACCCCCTCCTTCATTTCTTCTTCTTTGTCTATTATCCTTCAACTATAAGCCTTCCATAATCGTTCGGTGATGAACTCTGCATCCGAAGACGATTAACTTCTTAACGGGGAAAACTACAGGCGAAATTTCAAGAATCCTCTTGAACAAATGAAGAAAACTTTTTAATTCACTAGAGAAACTTGTGGTGAATAATAAACGTTGATCAAGAATTATTTACGGAAATTACATTCTTATCTTCGGGTTACTGAATAATTCTGTCAAAACTTGGGGAAGTTTTCAGAAAATGTATTAGCTTCAAATTTGGAGACATTAACATTATGGAAAATCTATCTTCATGTGACCGGCCAAGCAGGATTCTTCAGATAATTATTACATTATGCATTTGTGGTACAAGGCCACAATAATAAGCAATTCTAAAAGAACTTGCTATTTAACGCGGTGAAAAACTTTGGTAGGCAGCCAGATGATTAACTGCATAATAACTAATAAATATTACAGAGTATTTTAGAAAGTGTATATTATTGTGGTAACATAAGGCGTATTACCACGTATGTATAACGAGCCTGCATGCAGCAGTGAATGAAGAAATTTTACTTATTTTATGTAAATTCTTTTCATAACGTCTGATAAGATTAATAACATTATCATTAAACGAAGAAAGAAAATCACAATATTGATACATATTTTTTAATACAATCTAAGCTTTCGGCTTACATAAGACATTATCAAAGATGTCAATTACTGTACAATATATTAAGCAATATACGGACAAGACAGTGATGATAGTCTATGATTGTTTACATGGATGATTTCCAAGCAACTATAAACACGAAAAATCGCACCGCAGCTCATGACGTCACACATGACCACGCCAGAGTGAATTCGAGAAGTATTAAGTATGGGAAGCCGTTGGTATAAACCAATGGCTTCTGTTACCAATTATAGACATTTAAGGATATTTGTAGAGATTCCATAGATGATTTTGTTTAGGTTAGGTTTCAATTGTTTGATGTATAATGCTTCAAGGATTTTTAGTTTTTGTCTATTGTTTTCATGTCGAAGTATAATTGTGCTTTCGACAAGTATTTTACGGAATTGTGTGTGCGGCCAGTCATGTTGTTTTAAATGCCTAAAAATGTTAGAGTTTTCATTCCAATGTAATGTCAAGCGTCGTGAAAGCGAGTTTGTGGTGTGACCAACATAAATATTATTTAATTCGTTGGAGATACAATCTCCCAAAAGGCACTTGAATTTGTAAACTATGTTGGTTCTTTGCAAATCGCTAACCTGGGGAGAAGAATCATTGCGAAGAATTAAGTTGGATATACTAGATTTACTGTAGTATATGATTAACTTAATTTTTTTGCTAGGATCTGTTCTTGATATATTAGTATTTACTAGATTTTTTAGCATATTTTCATCTTGTTTATAATTAGTATGCATTTGATTACGATATAGGAGATTAATATGTTTGAGATTAGTAGAAGCAGTATTATGTACTATTTGCTTAGTATTGAGATTTCTAAGAAAGCGTCTTATTTGTTCATGAACTATATAGTTTGAAAGCTATTATTAATAAGTATTTGTTTTATATTCTTTAGTTCATTGTAAAAATCTGTTTTGTGGATGAATTAGTTCCTGAACGATGTATTAGATTCTTTATAATTGCTATTTTATAGTAATATGGGCAATCGCTCTTGTAGTTAAGTGTACATGAATTTATGCTTGTAGGTTTTTTGTATGGCGAAATAGTAAATTTGTTATTATTTGTGTTTATCAATATGTCAAGGAAGGGGATTTTATTATTAGTATTGAGTTCATATGTGAATTTAAGGAGAGAATTATTTTGGAAACGTTTTTGAAGTTGAAGTATTTCATCTGTATTTTTAACTAACATAAGAATATCATCAACGTATCTTAGGTAGATGGATGTTTTTTTAAAATCTGTAAATATCTTATTTGCGAGGTTCGACATGTAGAAATTGCTAAATGTCGGACCCAGTACTAAACCCATGGAGACACCATCACGTTCTATATAGATATTCTTATTATGATTGAAGAAATGGACCAGTAGTACAAGCTAATAGTAATTTCCATAATGTATTAGGATTAATTTTAAGTGGGGGTAAAGATGAGTTACTGTATATATTTCTTATAATTATGTCAATAGCTTCACTTCATTGGTAAATAAGTTTTCAACATCAAGTGAAGCTATGATTTCATTGTCAGGTTTTTCACTTTTTAGGATTTGGATTACTTCTAATGTTGACTTAACACTATATTTACTAGGAAGGTAGGGAGTAATAAGTTGGTTAATGTATTTTGTTAGATGATATACAGGAGTTGGAATTTGCGATATGATAGGTTACAAAGATAGTGTAAGTGTAAGCGGAGCTTACTATGTGCTAGTGTCCAATATTGGTAGTCGTACGCCGCTGATACTACGGTATTAGAATACTCTCTCTTCTCTTCTTCTCTCTAGATTGTTATGTCGCATACTTTATATAGTCCTGGAAGAGTCCATGTTGTAGGTATGTTACGGTCTCGCAATAGTAACTTAATAATGTAGAAATTTTTATAGTATTTTAAATTACTATAAGAAACGAAAAAAATGTTCTTACTTATAATTCATAAAATTATGTCAATTCTGGTGAACTTGTCAACATATTCCGACATCAAATTATCGATGGTGTCTTCAGGCAAATCTCCTCATCATTAATGATGTCTTCACTTTTCTTCTTTTTTCGTCTTTTTTTTTTTTTTTTTTGGCTTGACCAATGGATTTGATTCTTTGTCAAGTCGTCATCTATCAAAAAGTTAGGCGAAGTTTTATATATATTGTTTGAAGCTTTTGAATCTCTCGGAAACCTATACAATGGATAAGGACTTCATTCAAGATTCCCTTGGATATCTATCGAAATATTTTGAGTGCAATGTCATTTAAACCGGATGATATATCTTCATTGATATTCCTCAATTTTTTTTTCATGTCGTGGGGTTCATCTCTTTGAGGTATTTTATGGTTTGGATCTACGTTATTTCATAATATCTGAACTGTTAAAAATAAAAGATTGTCGAGATATGAACGTGTAGCCTTTCCCTTTACTGACACAATGCTTAGCTTGACGTCTTCAGTATGTTCTTTAATCTTAGCTATGACGCTTGTTTATCTTTTGATGTGAACTGACGAAGATTTCAGTTATTTTTATTTAATAAGACTATTTAATATTGTGTATCGAGACTAATTTTAACAAGCTTTTGCACAAACGTATTGTATGAGAGAGAATCTCCATTATGAAATTGCCTTAGATTTAAACAATACTTTCAACAACAAACTAAATAAATCTTACAAGCCAACAAAATAAAACTTCCATTACAAATTGCTATGAAACTCAAATAAAATGTTCAAGTTGTTTTAATTACGATTCATGCCATTTCAATGGATATTGTAAATTCAATTAAAATGTATATGTGCGACAAATTTTGCAGGGGATCAGTTTGGCACTAAAAGAATTGTATTTTTATGAAATATAATAAAATACTTTTAGTATTTTCAAGACTAACATAAATTCGACCAATATTCTGTGCACATGCATATTTTTTTTTCTTCCAGAAGCGGTTAAATCATTATTGAATTTAGAACTAAGTACTTGCAGCCGATTTTTTAATCTAAACGATTGAGGAATAAAATTTAAATTCTCAAAGTAATGCGGTGTCTGTAGAATTCCAGAAAAATACCGGGAAAATAATTTCGTCTAATTATAAAGGCTAGTCTAGGCAACAACGTATGGCACCATTATTGTTTTCTTGTTTCCTTCTATATTCTCGCATTTGATTTTCAGGCGTCTGGCCAAATCAACGTTGATTCTGATTCCATTGTTCGGTTGCCATATTATCTTCTCCTTTAAACCTGAGCACCTCAGTGTCAAGGCCGAGTTGATTCTTCTCACCTTTGAAATGTTGCTGAGCTCATTTCAGGTAATTATTGAAATGGAAATATTCTCTCTTTCTTTCTTTCTCTCGTCTATGCGCACTAACAATTACACACACATACACACATACACAAATGCATACACGTATACTGATTCAACAAAGTTCTTACACTTATGATGATCTGGACTTAACTAAATGGAAATGAATTCGGTAATGTATATTCATATTCAGTAAAATATATTCAAAATGTTACAAGTTATAACATATTCCTCTTAATTCTTCAATCAAATTCTGATGTCAAACGAATCTATTCCTCAAAATATTTTCCTTCTTGTACTATTGCTTTCTTTATATCTCACTTGTTCTGCCTATATTAATGGATGTTTTTGATCCCATCTGACAGGAATCTTTTCCAGACAAAACCCCACCCAAGAATAATCAAACTTTGCAACTCTCCTTCCATGATAACCAAATATCTTAAATTTTAATTGGTTCCCAATATTTCTTTCGACCAAACTTCTAAATATCTTGAAAGTGTTTTAATCGATGGCGCAAAATGTGATACTGAAATACGAAGGCGTACTGAGATGCCTTTCAAAAGCTAAGCTAATTACTAAGAAACATAAAATCTTCTCTAGAAACAAGGAAAAGAGTACTGAACTGTTACGTAATATCTGTCCTCCTATATGGCAGTGGATGCTAGACAATCGCCTCAAAGATGAAGAAGAGACATGAAGCAACAGGAATGTGGTTTTACAGAAGGATGCTGAGAATAGAAACGACCAAACATGTGAGCAACGACAAAGTTTGAGAGAAAATAGAAACAAAAAGGAAACTTATACTTAACATCAGGAAGAGACAATTGAGGTTTCCAGAGCACATAATGAGGAAAGAGGGCTTGGAAAATCTAATACTCACAGGACAGATGGAAGGCAAGAGGGACAAAGGAAAGCAACGCGTAATATACTTCATGAACTTAAGTAAATGATTGGCGGAACAGGACTTAGAAGAAATAACAGAAAGACAAAATTTATTAAGAACAGGAACAGGAAGTTGTGGAGTGCCATGATTGCCTACATCCTGAGGGGTACAGCACATAAAGAAGAATGTTTAAACCATCTATACACTATCTGATGACAAACTCCGATTTAAGTTAAATGTTTATAGAGTCTATTTTAATAACTTTTTTCCTCATTTTGTCAAATTATAAATTATAAATTTGGATGATTTTTCTTAATGTGATGGTAGAGAATACTAATGCAGAATTACTTTTTATAAGAGATACGTGTGACTATATTTCTCCTATTAAACGTTTTTTATAAGATTCTTTCATTTTACATAAAATCCGTTTAAAGCTATTTCAGGGCGTTGGTGATCATGACTCTCCACGGATTTCTTTTCCTCTGTTAACAGTGAATTGTCATGACATCTTAGGTAAAATAGTGAAGTATTCTGCACAGTTACTGATCCAGAGCATTCCTTTTCAATGAATGACTGTCACTCTCTTGCCTTTTTGATAAAGTGAATGCAACACACAAGGCTGTCATTTGAGCTAGATATTGCATAAGAGAAAAAATATTACATAAGAGAAAACGTTATTTTAATATCAGTGTGTTCATGGTGTTCAGTTATCGACACAAAATATAGTCGAGGCGAGGAGTTCGAATTCTAGTCTAGGTCATTGCATTCGCTTTTGTACAAATAGCCTTAGGAGATGTTTATGAATTCATCTTTCTCGCAAATATGGGTTTAATATCAACGCAGACTCCCCCCCCTATAGCTTTTTTCCAGTAACTCTAACTCGAATCTTGTAGAAGACTCACTGAATTCAAAGCCAGGTGAATTCATAGCTTGCAAGTACGTTCTTTAAAGAAAAACCTGCTTGCTAAAGTAACCCACAGGAAAAATACCTCACTTGATCAGACGGTGGCTCCATGTACTCATACGTCTAAAGTGATAACTACATAGACAAACATACGTTCACACAGACTTTTTAGCACACACAGACAGTAAAGTGATTTCTCTGGTCGAAAAGGTGTGCCAGAGTTTGAAATTCATCGGAAGCTTTTAACTCAAAACGATGACAATGTACTACCGCGTAGAAGTGTGCATGTCTCGGTTTATAAGTTTAAAATTGACCGGACAAGGGTGACGCACGAAGAAGGAGCTGAACGCCCGTTAACCTTCGTCATTAACGAAAAGATTCAACAAGCTCGAGAGATGGTCATGTCGAACCGGTGTGTTATCATTAATGAGGTAGTATATTCTCTTCTGATTCGGATTTCTGTTCCTTGTTACTACCAGGGGAGTTTCCATGTTTTGAATGTAACGACAACAAAAAAAAACTGCTCACTTGACCACAATAGTACTAATGTGCAGAAGGCCGTTTGACAAAACTAAAGGTATGTTATAACCAAAGTGCGAATAATATTTGACTACCCTCTTGTGTGTGTGTATATATATATATATATATATATATATATATATATATATATATATATATATATATATATATATATATATATATACCCAATTATTTTATATAATTGGTATATACGGAATGAATTCCAATAACCAACAATTATTTTATCTTCAACATCATCACTTGATAAGACACAGAGTGTGTTGAAACAAAATGACTATTTTGTAGTGATTTTATAACATACTTATGTTATAATTTTTTTTTTTTAAAAAAAAATAATTATATCTGCTCTACTTTGTATTGTGCCACGATATATTTGTATATATATATGTATGTGTGTGTGAATGTGTGTATGTATGTGTGTATATATATAGCTGTGTGTGTATATATGTATATATCTATGTGTCCTATTTTATTGTGTATGTATATTTATAATTAAGTATATTTCTGTTTGTATGAATGTGTTTATATATTTGTATGTTAGGCTATATGTATAAAATATTTATATATATACACATACACACACATACATACATATACACACATACACACATACATACATATATATATATATATACACACACACACATGTGTTTATATATTTGTATGTTAGGCTATATGTATATTGCTGTGTGTTGGTATTTGAATGTATATTTATGTGTCTATATGTTAGTACGTTTATATATGTATTTGGTTGAGTGTGGTTGTATTTTTTATGTATGCATGTATATATTGGTAGTTGTTATTGTAGATAGATATATTTATATATATGTTTATTTGTAGATATGTATGTATGTGTATATATATTTATGTATGTTTGTATGTATGTATATATATGTGTGTTGGCACCTATTATGTATGAGTTTGTTTGCATGTATGTGTGGGTATGACTGTTTTTATATATGTATGGTTATTCTAGCTTTTGTAACAATGTTTCCCCCTAGTGTAGGATCGTTAATTAATCTGAAACTTTTGAAACCATTTATTTTATTTTCAACATCATCACTTGATAAGACACAGAGTGTGTTGAAACAAATGGCTATTTTGTAGTGATTTTATAACATACTTATGTTATAATTTTTTTTTATAAAATAATTATATATATATATATATTTGTTTTGCATTCAACATCATCACTTGATAAGACACCGGCAGTGTTGAAACAAAATGGCTATTTTTGTAGTGATTTTATAACATGTTTATGTTATAAATTTTCTAAATAAATAATATATATATATATATATATATATATATATATATATTATGAAAAAGTGTAATTATACTTGATTTATTTCTCATATATATATATATATATATATATATATATATATATATATATATATATATATATATATATTATCAAAGAAGGCTACGGCGCCTTCTTTTGTTATATAAATCGTTAACACGACAACACCAATATACTACACCATGAAAATAGTAAAAAATCTTCAAATTCTCGAGGTTCTCTGAATAAAATTCAATCAACCAACACAACAAAATGTATTACAAAGTGTAGCAGCAACGTACTGAAGTACATATAACAAAGATTTAATGCTATTTTCTATTTCAACAAATTTATAGTCAGTTTTCTTATAATGAAACGCTCTTTTGCAAAAATTCTATAGCTACAAAGAATAAATTTAAAATTTTAAAATAACTATAACAGCGCGTTCACACGTGTTATTTTTGTTTTTAAAATCGACATTACAACGGAATGAATCTTGTATTGCAATTACAGTAAGTTTGTATTTGTAATTCGCCCCTGAAGATGAGATCTCGGAAAAAAATCAAAAGTACTCACTCCAGTTAACAAAAACTACGACACCTTCTATGATGAATTTCATCTTAACATCAAGAAACTGATGAGACAATAGACACAGTATGTCTATATTATTCAATTCATATATATATATATATATATATATATATATATATATATATATATATATATATATATATATATATGAATGAAGAAGTAAGGGCGTTGTAGAATATATCGATTTAATGCTACTCATTGCATCAAATATCTTAACATGTGTATATATTGCCGCGTTTAATAACACCCGACATTTTTGGTCACGTTGGATAAAATATTATCTCACTGGAAATGTAATAATTACTAATGAATTTATTTATTTTAACTCTAGAAAATATTCTTTGATTTGTAATCTTTTCTTTCATAACAGTTAATAAAATAGCAAAATATATTTTTAACGTTTTTACTTTAAAACAAAATCTTATTCTTTTCTCATTTTTATTCAGGGCTTCGTTGTGGCGATTCTGTTGTGTTTTGCAAATTGCGAGGTACGTATTGATGGATACAGCCGTTTAATATAGTTATTATTTTTCAAATATCTATCACTATACTGATGGTGTTTAATTCAGATACTGACCCTCCAGGGTATGACGATGAACTACATCGGGCAACAAGGCCTCCTCTGATCGGTGGTGGGATGGTGAAGAGCATGGAATTGCTGCTCCCAAGTC